CGCACCCCCCAGTGCCGCCCCCGTACCGGACCGGGACCGGCAACGGGATCGCAACCCTCGGTGTTGCCCCCGCGCCTCACTCAGCCAGTGAGCGGGAACCGGTCTGTATGTGGGATCCGAACCCTCGACGGGAGTGCCGCCACGCTTCCCAAGCGGCGCACTAGCGCAGTGCGCCACCGGGCCGGCCCATCTCTTTGTAGTTTTAATTTGTTTTTCTGTAATGACCAATGATGTTGAAGATTTCTTCAAATGTTTTTGCCATCTGCATGTCTTACTAGATGAAGTATCTGCTCAAATATTTTGCCCATTTAAAATGATTGGGTTGTTTGGTTTTTTCTTACTGAATTTTGAAAGTTCTTTATATATTCTGGTTGCAAGTTCTTTTTTTTTTTTTTTTTTTTGGTGGCTGACCAGTATGGGGATCTGAACCTTTGACCTTGGCGTTATCAGCACCATACTCTAACCAAGTGAGCTAACTAGCCAGCCCTTTGCAAGTTCTTTATCAGATATTCAGTTTGTAAATAGTTTTCCATGTCTTTGGGTTGTCTTTTTATTTTACACTCTATCTTTCAAAGAAAGAAGTTTTAAATTTTGATGAAGTCCAATTTATTAATTTGATCTTTTCTGGATCTTGCTTAGATATGCCCATCCCGAGCACAGCAGTGGATCATGCTTTAGGTGTTGTGTCTTAGGTTTAGGCAAAAGAAATCTGTGCCTAAACCTAAGGTCAAGGAAGATTTTTTCCTATTTTTTTCTTCTAGAAGTTTGATAGTTTTATGTGTAGGTCTGTGATCCATTTTGTTTTAATTTTTGTGTAAGGCATGAGGCATGGATTTTTTTGCATATGGATGTCTAATTTTTCTAGCACCATGTGTTAAAAGGACCATACTTTCTCCACTGATTTGCCTTTGCACCTTTGTCAAAGGTCAGTTGTCCAGGGTTGGCCAGTTAGCTTACTTGGGAGAGTGTGGTGCTGATAACACCAAGGTCAATGGTTCAGATTCCTGTACTGGCCAGCTGCCAAAAAAAAAAAAAAAAAAAAGATCAGTTGTCTGTATATCTGTGGGCCTATTTCTGGACTCTTCTCTTTTACTGATCTACTTGTTTATCTTTATGCCAATACTACGCTGTCTTGATTACTGTGGCTTTATAATAAGATTGGAAATCAGGTAGTGTTAGTTCTCCAACTTTGTTTTTCTTTTTCAAAATTGGCTATTCAATTTTTTAGTTTCCATTTCCAAGTGAATTTTAGAATCAGTTTGTCAGTTTCTACAAAAATGCCCTATAGGGATTTTGACTGGGGTTGTGTGGAATCTATAAATACATTTGAAGAGCATTGTGTTCTGGACAACGTAGAGTCTTCTGACCCATAAACATGGTACATCTCTACATTCATTTAGGTCTTCTTTAATATTTCTCAGCATAAGTTTGCAGTTTTTAGTGTACAGGTCTTACACATCTTTTTGTCAGATTTATCTATAAGTATCTCATATTTTCAGTGATGGTGTTTTTAGATTTTGATTTATGATTTTTCATTGCTAGTATTTAGAAATACTATTGATTTTTTTTATATTATTCTTGTATCCCACAGTATGTTAAACTCATTTATTTTAGTAGCTCTGGGGAGGGGAGAGGGGCTGGAGGGTGAGTTGATCACCAGTGGCCAGTGACGTAATCATCAAGCCTGCGTAATGAAGCCTCTGTAAAAAATTCAAAAGAACAGCGTTTAAAGAGTTTCCAGATAGCAGAACACCTGGAGGTTCCTGGAGGGTGGTGCACCTGGGGAGGGCATGGGAGCTCTGCGCCCCCTTCTCTGTACCTAACCCAGTGCATCTCTTCATCTGGCCGTTTACCTGTATCCTCTGTAATATCCTTCATAGTAAATGGGTAAATGTAAGTAAAGTGTTTTCCTGAGTTTTGTGAGCTGCTCAGCAAATCAGTTGAACCCAAGCAGGAGGCTGTGGGAAACTTGATTTATAGGCATATCTTAGTTTGTTTTCTGTTGCTACAACAGAATATTGCAGACTGGGTAATTTATGTGGCTTATGATTTTTGAGGCTGGGAAGTCCAAGAGTATGGCGCTGGCATCTGATGAGGGTCATCCTAGGGCAGAAGACAGAGGCAGAAGTGAGTGCATGAGACAGAGGGAGTTGGAACAAACTCCTGCTTCTATCAGGAACCTGCTTCCACGATGACTAACCCTCTCCTGCAACAACTGCATTAATCCATGAATGAGGGTGCAACCCTCATTTCCTAAACACCTCTTAAAGGTCCCACCTCTCAACACTCTTACAATGGCAGTTAAGTTTCAACATGAGTTTTGGAGGGGACAGTCAAACCATAGCAACTGGGTCCATCAGAAGCACAGTTTGCAACTTGGAGCTTGTGATTGGCATGTGAAGTTTCAATCTTGTGGGACTGAGCCCTCAACCTGTGGAATCTGATGCTATCTCCAAGTAGATTGTATTTAATTTAATTAAGTTCACCTAGTTGGTGTCCACTGGAGAATTGTTTGGTACGTGGGGAAAACTCCCAGATATCTGGTGGCAGAAGTGTTGTGTTGGGTCTAAGGAAAAACATTTTGGTTTTTTTTCTGTATTTCTAAGAGTTGGCGTTAGTGAGGTGGGGTTTGGTAGAATGGCCCTGGCTCACAGAAATACATGATTTGGAAAGAGAGAGGATGAAAGGGTGGGGATGACCTGTGATTCCTGGGAGGCTATGTGGCCACCCTGGTATGGAGCTGCAGCTGTGCTGAGATTAGTTCCTAAAGGCAAAGTTACCTGTGGAAACTGGGGATGGACCCATCTCCCAGGGAGTTAGTTCACTGGATGCAGAAGGCAATGCAGACTAATCAGAAAAGGGCAAAATGTTCAACCCCCTGGTTATTGGCATTTGTAATAGCTAAAATGAAACTAAAATTAAAAGTGCTGGGTTGGACCTTGATGCTAGACTGAGCTCGGATCTCAGTGCATCTGAGGCTTGGCCACTAGCCTCACAGCCACTCCAGGGGAAGAACTACACCTGGACTTCAGAAAGTAATTCTCAGACCTCTGGTCACCAAGGCAGTCAATGTAGGGGGAAAGGCAAAACCAAGACATCACTGAAAGCAGAGGGTTTGGCGTGAAGGGCTTGTTTCATTTGGTGGGTTGAGCCATCAGCTTCCTGAGGGTCTTCTCTAAGATGGAGAGATCCACTGGTTTGGGAGCAGTGTCTTCGTTTTCTTCCCTCATTCCTAATGGCCGCTTACCACCTGGACCTGGAATCGGCTTGCCATCATTCCTCCTCCTCTTGTTGGCCAGACTATGTCCATGGTCTAACCCGAAGTCAAGGGGTGGGAGCTGCACCATCCCTCTGCTGGGAGGAACTGCAAAGCCACTGGGCAAAGGGTGAGGCTGGGGTGGGGTGAGGAGCTGGGGCAAGAGCCTGACCCACCACAACTCACAGACAAGCCATACTGCAGGTGTGTAAGTTGTGCATGCTGTGGTGCATGCTGTGCTCACAATGCTGCATTTTTGTGCTTCATGTCATGTCTCGGGGTTTATTCCATGTCAGTACAGGCAGAGCTGCCTCACTGTACCCAGAGGCTGCCGCTCCGTTGTCTTTGTGTCCTTTACTGTTGTCCCTCACTGGTGGGCACTTGGGCTGCTCGGTCACCACTGACAAAGGTGCAGTGAATATTCTTGTACATACGTCACTTTGCAAATGCACAAGTGTCCCCACAGTACACATTCCTAAGAGTGGAATTGCTGGGTTGAAGGCTGAGTCCCTTGTAGAACCTGATGGATCTTGTCAAATTGCCACCAGAACCCTCTGCCTAGCTGAGAATGCTGAGGCACAGAGAAGCTAAGTGTTGTTCCCAAGGAACACAGCTGGAGACCTCTAGGCTCAGGACAGAGCCAGGTCTGTCTCTGAATTCCAACCTGCATGTCCTGCCACATTGCCATGTGGACGTCCCACTGCAGAGGGGCAGATGGTGGGTACTGAGGACAGCGGACCATGGAGGTCCTGCGTCACTCACCTCTGTAAATGCCCTGAAGGGGAGACCATGTTCCTTTGGCGGGGGTGGTTGTGGGTGCTTGTGGGAGGGAAGGGAGTTGCTCTGCAGGGCCCATCCCCTGATACTAAGACTGAGCCGGGGGCTGTCGGGGCCACAGCTCCATTCCCTTTGAACCTTCTCTTCCCCTCCTCTCTGTTAGAGCCAAAAGATGGTCCGGTTTTATATCCCCAACACCACTAAGGCGTGCCCCTGCCTGTGCCACCACTTTGGGGGCCGCCTCCCGGTGCCTAGGGATCAGGCAGTGATGCCCTACTGGGTGCCCCAGGTCCTGAGGTCGCAGAAGAAGGTAAGAAGGAGGCTCACCCAGCAGGGGGGCTGGGCCTGTGGAGGGACAGGGAGAGGACGGAGCCCAGGCTCCCGGGTCTGCCTTGGCTGGTGTCCAGAGAAGACCCCCTGAGTCAGTGGCCAAGGGCAGCAGAGCACAGAAGGCTTGGTGCGAGTGTGGGGGTAGCCAAGACTTGAGAAGGGCGGCGGGTGTGTGTGTGTGTGTGTGTGTGTGTGTGTGTGTGTGTGTGTTGCACTGTCCCACGATGGTTCTAGCACTTGATGCTGCTGCCATCTCTTCCTCTTCTCCTCCACCTCCCTTGCCTCACTGCCTCCTCCCACCACGCCCTCCTCCCTGACCTGGGGGGTCCCTCCCCCATCTCTCTCCATTGATAGCCACTGGCCCTGGCAGGCGTGTGCAGAGGGAAGGGGATGCTCTGTCCTCTACACTCTGTCTAGTTCTGGGGCAGTGCTCCCACCAGCCCCACATGCCCCTTCTCTCCTTCGCTCCCCTCAGTGTTCTGTGGGTGGGTAGAGGCTTCCTCTCTTCCTCACCCTGACTCCCAGCTGCTGCTGTCCACCACTGGGTACCAACTCGTCCCCAGGGTTGGGACCCAGCAGCCTCTGAAGAGCTGGTCACGCCCCTCCCAGGGGGGGTCTAAGTCCAAGTCACTGGCCCTCTTCTCCATGCACTGACAAGGGCTACCCACATTCTTGTCTTTTAGATGGTGAAAAGACAGCAGACTTTCACAGGCGTCCAAGGTAATCAACTCTGTGGTCTCCTTTCCTGTCCCCTCCCAAGGAAGGTGGGGTCTCCTGAGCATCATGGTGGGATAGGAGGACTTCTCTATGCCCAGCCATTTGCAAAACAAGGAAGATCACCTAGATGACACCTGTTCGGCTTTCCCTGCCCCTGCTCTCACCAGCCATCCCTTGTCACCCAGTGAACCCCGAGAAGCCTCAGCACTCCAGGCAGACCCTACCAATCTACCAGCATTGGCTCTCAAGATGAAGCCAATTTGCAAGCTGGGGTTAGATGATTCTACAGTGCTTTTTTTAAAAGCTCTAGTCTTCTGTAGTTCATGACATAGTGTGTGTACATATATACATTTATGACATAGTGTACATCTCTATATACTCATGACATAGTACATATCTCTGTATATGTCCTATTATATACTCACACATCCGTATATTCATGGCACACATTTATAACACAACATTCGTGCATATTTTCCTTATGTAGTATATTCATGCATTCGTATATTTGTGACTTAGTATATATACATTTCATATATGAGAGGTCTTCAAAAAGTTCATGGAAAGAATTGTATAATCTTTTAATTTCATTTTTCCATGAACTTTTTGAAGTGCTCTTATATTCATGATAGACGTAGTATATTCTCGCATTCACGTATTCATGATACAGTATATATTTATACTTGACAAAGCATATTCATATATATCTGATGTGGCACACATTTTCACGTATTTGTGATGTGCCACATATGTTCATGTATTTGTGACCTGGTTCATACATTCATGTATTCGTGTCATGGCACATTCTTGAATTTGTGATGTGGCACATATATTCACATGTTTGTGACATGGTACATACAGTCCCGTATTTGTGGCCTGGCACATAAATTCATGTATTCATGATGTGGCATATATATTTTTTACATTCTTATGATGCAGTTTACTGGGAGACAAGCATCTGCACCCCGACCGTTACTTTCTTGGCCTCTAAAAGGAGTGGGCTTGCTGGTCTTGAAGGCACTTCCCAGCCCCAAGGAGCTGATGTGCCTGTGTTCCTAGGCTGGGGTCATGTCCTGCCTTGGGCACGCGTGCTACCATGTGGTGAGCGCTCCTTGGCAAATCCCAGAGTGGAACTGGGTTCCTGGGAGAGGTGAGGGATTTGAGTGGGACTCCCAGAGGTGAGGGGTGGGGATGGTCTGGGAAATGAATAACCACCAACCACTGTGCCCATCTTTTAATGGTGCCAAAATGAGTGAATTTTCCTAATTATAAAAGTGACACAACTATTAGGAGTGTAAATTGTCATAGTATTTGTGGGGCAGTCTGGAGGTATCCATCAAATTTTAAAATGTGCATTATCTTCTATCGAGCACACCCATGTCAAGACAGGTCTCACTGCTGCTGGGAGATTAGGATCTTTTTCTCTTTTAGCCTCAAGTACAGAGTGATTTAAAAATGTGAGACATTTTCTTTGTTCTCAAATCTAACTGATTTCCTTTTTAAAGAAAAAATTTAGGGCCGGCCCAGTGGCGCACTCGGTAGAGTGCGGCGCTTGGGAGCGTGGTGGCACTCCCGCCGAGGGTTTGGATCCCATATAGAGACCGGTCTGCTCACTGGTTGAGCGCGGTGTGGGCACGACACTGAGGGTTGCGATCCCGTTGCTGGTCGCGGTACGGGCACGACACCGAGGGTTGCGATCCCGTTACCGGTCACGAAAAAAAGACAAAAAGGGAAAAAAAGAAAAAATTTATATCTCTGTTCTTATATTTTCCTTATAAAGAGAGGGCTTATATGTTTTTCTTCTCTATGCTTTGTGATAGAATTCTTTATAAGGAAAATATATTTGTGTGGAGACGGGTTCCCGCTCACTGGCTGGGCGTGGTGCGGGCACGACACCGAGGGTTGCGATCCCGTTACCGGTCACGAAAAAAAGACAAAAAGGGAAAAAAAGAAAAAATTTATATCTCTGTTCTTATATTTTCCTTATAAAGAGAGGGCTTATATGTTTTTCTTCTCTATGCTTTGTGATAGAATTCTTTATAAGGAAAATATATTTATATTTTATATTGATAGTGCATTTTTATCTTAATACAGAGTGTATATTTTATATTAATAGTATGTTAATAGTGTAATAAAAAATAAAAGATAAATATAATATCAAGAGGATCACATGTTGACCAAAGCAGTCTGGAAATGTAAGAGAGCGTCAAGGAAAGGGAAACACCACCATTCCGTGGGTGGTGTGGCCATTGTTAACTACTTACGGAGAACTTCAAGTACTCACAAAAGTGGAGATTGGTTTAGGTTTAGATAAGCCCTGTTTTCCCGTAACTCAGCTCCAATCATTGTCCAATCCCATTTCATCTGATCTTCACCCCCCACCAGCAACAAGAAAAGATGAATTTGAAGCAAATCCCAGCTAGAAATTGTATTATCCAGAAATGTTTCAGTATGCTGCTCTAGAAGATAAACTCTCTTTCAGAAACACGGCTGTGAGGCTGTCATTGCTCAGGCAATAATGAACCAGCAGTACTTTCTTCATCTCACTGAACATGGGGTCAGTGTCCACACCCCTGGGGCTGTGACTGCCTCTTGCCAGTCCGCATTTCCTGGAGGCTTCCGGGCTGGTGTCGCAGCCTCTGCGTATCCTATACTGACTCCGGGACTGTGCCCTGTCCTCACTCCTGCCCTTTCTCCACCTAGAAACCCCCTTGGACTTGCACTCCTGTTACAACCGCTGGCAGGTCTGCTGCAATGAGGGCCTCCTGCTGAAGTGGCAGCAGCTCCAGGCCCTTCACCAGGATGAGCCACTGGCCCTGGGGAGGGGAGCCAGCTCTCCGGCCTCCCTCCTGTCCCTTGGCCTCAGCCTTCTGACCCTCCTTCAGGCCATCCTGAGGGTCATTGAGGCCATTCGGTGAGCAGGTGGGGAGTGGGGCACCGAGGGTGGCCCTGGGCCCATCTCCCATTCCCTGGGCGCTTTGCCTACCTCCCTGGGGCAGGTGAAGTTTAGTAGAGGTCAGGGGTGTGGGGGACTGGGTCACAGTTCAACAAAAGAGTAAGATCTGGCTATGTGTGTGACACTTGCATGCAGACAAGGGTCTGCTCACTCACGTCCAGAGGCGTCAGTGCCAACAATGTAGGTGGGGGCTACGTGGGGGCTCTGCCACCTTTCCTTTTCTACCTCTTCCTGTTCTCAAGTTCTAACATTGCCCTGCTCACAAAGACTGGTCCTCATTGCATAAATTTCCATGGTGGCGGGGTTGAAAGTGGATCTTAGAGCCTGCTCACCCAGCAGGACCCTGGGATTTGAACGCACCTTTGGGGCTAGAGACCTGCTGCCTCTCCCACAGCTGCAGCCCCAGCCATCAAGGCTCCACAGCGGAGGTCCCTTTCCTCTGGTCTCGATGCCCCACTGCGCCCAGGCTCCGAGTTTTATACCTGACCTTTGCGGCTGCACAGCCATTGTTTCCTGCTGCAGTCTCACTCCCACGAAGCCTCCAGGGCCATTCCCTGGGTCATGGCAGAACCTGGTGACCTGGCCGCTCCCTTCTCCTCCTTTACTCTTGGCCTGTATAGCATCTCCTTGGAAAAACCTATCCTCCTCCTCCCCAACCAGCCCCTTCCCATTCAGCCTCTTACATGACCACTATATGGAAATGCAGGCAGAGATACACACATACATTTAGGTAAATGGAAGACCTGTAAATATGTGTTAATATAGAAATATACACAGTTCAGATTTACATGTATCTACTTGTTTGCTTTTTAATTGTCTGCCTTCTCCACTCAGTGGTAGGAGGAATATTCTAGAAAATGTCCAGTATCTGACAGTAGTGTCTTTGCCCAGTTTTCTAGTGGTTCACACAGGAGGTTAGCCTTGTCCTTGTCGCTTTGCTGTGGCTAGTAGCCACGTCCCTCTCCCCTGCCGTTTGCCTCTCCATTCCTTGTTTTGGACACTGATGCTGCTTCTGACCCCTGCAGTCACACGTGATACTGTGATGGGCTTCTGTGGGCCTGGTGGCACAGGAGGGGTTGTGGGGGGGGGGGCTCGCATCAGCTTGGTATTATCTCTGAACACGAGTGTACCAAAGACCAGCATCAAGAGGTTTCCCTTCTTTGTTTCTTTCCTTGAGGATTTATCTTTCTTTTCATGTTGGCAACTGGATATCAAATTTAGTTTGAATCCCCTATGCCCACTCTGGGAAGAGCAAAGAAAGAAACTTGACTGTGAATGATAAATGTTAAGTAGATGGTCAGTGTGGGCCAGGGGTTGGGGGGGGGGGGGTCGCATCAGCTTGGTATTATCTCTGAACACGAGTGTACCAAAGACCAGCATCAAGAGGTTTCCCTTCTTTGTTTCTTTCCTTGAGGATTTATCTTTCTTTTCATGTTGGCAACTGGATATCAAATTTAGTTTGAATCCCCTATGCCCACTCTGGGAAGAGCAAAGAAAGAAACTTGACTGTGAATGATAAATGTTAAGTAGATGGTCAGTGTGGGCCAGGCCTCATGTTGGAAGCACCTGGTAAGTTGGAAGGAAGGAAGGAGGGAAGGAAGGAAGGGAGGGAGTGAGGGAGGGAGAAGCCCGTGCCTGGTTGCAGAGATCTGGAGTGAAATGGTCTGCAGTGGAGCCTGGGCATGTGATTCTGTTCTGAAGTTCCCCAGAGGTGCAGTCAAGGCTGAGAGACACCTCCCTGTTTTCCACCTCCTGGATCCTGGCACCTATAGCTGCTGCCCATCTCCTCCCTTCCCTCTCAACATCTCGTTTAGAAAGACCTGGGAAGCCCATTCGCTCTGTGGTACCGCTGACTTGGGATTCTTCTTTAGGGTGTTTGCTCCTGAGCCAAGCTCTCAAGGCAGAGGTGCAGGCAACAAGCAGCCTTTAGGAGAAAATATCTTGTCCATCTGTGATGTGCAGAGTGCCCTGTGGGATACCCTAAGCCACATGCCAGCTTTTTCTCTTGGGAAGCCATGGCTGCCCAGCTGCTGGCCTGGCAGAGACTCGCTCCAGCTGCCAGCTGTGGAGAGAGGCGAGCTCAGAGCCCTTCCCAATGGGAGCCTCCAGGCACAGGGCCGCATCTGGCTCCTTCCGTTTTGATCAGGCCTGTGACAGCCTTCACTTGATCTGTTCCCTTTGCAGTTCTGCACAGCTGGGACTGTCACCCCTTTGCAGAGGAGAGAGTGGGCTCTTGGAGGGGCAGGGGCTCTCCTGGACCCCATGGCTGCACCCTGCCCTGAGTACAGTGGGAACCCAGTGACAACCCCTCCACTGTGGGGGCACCCCCACTTTCTACCTGAGGAGGATCCCACTAGGGGCAGTGCTGCCTCGGCCTGGGGGACAGTTCTCAGTAACTTTCTCTTTGCTTTCTAGCCAGTTTTTTGGGGTTTGAAGTTGGACTCTCCAGCTACTGTCAAGAACATCGACAGAAATGTTAGTCACAGTCAAGATCTTTAATGAAAGTCCTCAGATCAGGAGGAGTCCATGATGCCCACTGTTTTCTCGTGCACTATAATTCACACCCAGGATCCAGTCCTGGTGATCCATCATCAGGTGATTCTCAGTTGTAGCAGAGTGGATGTGAGCGTGGGTGACATTCTGTTATGAATGAGGCCAATAAATGTTATTTGTGAAACTTTAAAATGGCCACTTTTTAAATGATGAGCTCTGATTTTCCTTCATTACGAGGGACTTGCTGTCCATCTCTGTGTCCCTGGGGTAGGGGAGCCGCCCTCTGCCAAAGACAGCAGATCCACTGCACCAGGGTCCTGAGATAGTTCGGGCATGTTTCACGTGGTCTCACTTATGTTGCATAAAATTGCATGCAAATTTCAATTTTTAAAATTGAAGTAACATTTATGTATTGTATAATTCACCCTTTTCAATTATACTTTTCAGTGGCTTTAAATATGTTTACAGTGTTATGCAACCATCACACTAATTCCAGAATGTTTTATCATTATGAAAAGAAACCCTGTGCCCATTAATCAGTCCCTACTCCTTCCCTTGTTCCCCTAGCCCCTGGCAACCACTAATCTACTTTCTGTTTCTAAGGGTTTGCCTGTTCTGGACATTTCATATGAATGGAATTATACAATACCTGGTCTTTTGTGGCTGGCTTTCACTTATCATGTTTTTAAGGTTTATCCATGTTGAGGCATATATCAGTACTTCATCCCTTTTTATGGCTGAATAATATTCTATTGCATGGATATGCCATGCTTTGTTTATCTGTCATTAGTTGATGGACATTTGGGTTATTTCCACCTTTTGGCTATTGCAAATAATGCTGCTGTGAACATTTGTGCAAGTGTTCGTGTGGACATATGTTTGCATCTCTCTTGGGCATATGCCTAGAAGTAGGATTGCTGGGTCATGTGGAAACTGTATGTTTAGCATTTTTTTTTTTAAAAGATGACCAGTAAGGGAATCTTAACCCTTGACTTGGTGTTGTCAGCACCATGCTCAACCATTGAGCTAACTGGTCATCACTATATAGGATCTGAACCCAGGGCCTTGGTGTTATCAGTACCGCACTCTCCCAAGTGAGCCACGGGCCGGCCCCTGTATGTTTAGCATTTTGAAGAACTGCCAAGCTGTTGTCCACAGTAGCTGCAGTGCATTAGGGTTCCAGTTTCTCCATGTCATTGTTCACACTCTCAGAGTGTTGTCTATTATTTTGATTATAGCCATTCCAGCAGGTGTGAGGTGGTATCTCACTGTGGTCTTCACTTGAATTTCTCTGATGGCTAACGATGTTGAGCATCTTTCCATGTGCTTATAGGACATTTATATATCTTCTTTGGAGAAATGTCTATTCAAATACATTGCCTATATTTTAATTGGGTTATCTTTCTTTTTATTGTTGAGTTGTAAGTGTTCTGTATATGTTCGGGATACTAGACCCTCATCAGATATTTGCAGATATTTTCTCCTACTCTGTGGGTTGCCTTTTCATTTTCTTGATGATGTGCTTCGAAGTACAAAAGTTTTAAATTTTGATGAAATCAAATTTACTCTTAGTTTTCTTATGTTTTAGGTCATATGGTCATGTCTAAGAAACCACTGCCTAATTCAAGGTCACAAAGATTTATACCAATGTTTTCTTCTAAGAGTTTTATAGTTTTAGCTCTTACATATAGGTCTTTGATTTATTTTGGGTTTAGTTTTTGTATATGGTGTGAGGTAGGGGTCATTCTTTTGCATGTGGACATCCAGTTGTCCTGCATAACATTCTTGAAATGACAAGATTAGAGAAATGGAGAACAGGTTAGTGGTTGTCGGGTTGAGGAGGAGGTCAGGTGGAGGGAAGTGGGTGTGGCTATAAAATGGCAATACGAGGCGTCCTTGTGGTGATGGAAATTTTCCATGTGGTACCATCAGTGTTGATGTTCGACATTGTACTATGGTTTCACAAGATGTTACCAATTGGGCCAAACTGGATAAAGGATAAATGGGATTTCTCTGAATTATTTCTTAAACATGCATGTGAATCTACAATTATCTCAAAATAAAAAGTTTAGTTGAAAAGCAATGCAATTCACTGTGGAAGATTTCGAGAATACAGAAGAGTACAAAGAAGATAGAAACCACTCAAATCCTCCATCCAGGCTAAGCTCTGTTATCATTGCCCTGGCAGGAAGGAAAGGACAGATTCCCAATGAGGTGGCAAAGGGAGGATCTAAAAGTGATGATTCAGAACCAGACTTTGGGGGCCTGACCTGGGTTGTCTACCTTAGAGATGGAAATAAGAAAGAGGAGGGAGTCTCAGATCCACAGGACAATGGGGTCTGGAGTACCCATGGGGTGTCTCGGGCATATCTGTACTTCTGTGATGGGCCCTGCAGAGGACCTGCAGTCTTCCCTGGGGAGTGGAAGCTGTGTTCTTCTAGGGCACATCTTCAGTGGCCCAAGGA